TCTCCTAGAAATAAATAAAACATTAAAAAAAAAAAAAAGTAAGTGGAGGGGTGCCTGGGTGGCTCAGTCGGTTAAGCGTCCGACTTCGGCTCAGGTCATGATCTCACGGTTTGTGGGTTCGAGCCCCGCATCGGGCTCTGTGCTGACAGCTAGCTCCGAGCCTGGAGCCTGCTTCCGATTCTGTGTCTCCCTCTCTCTCTCTGACCCTCCCCTCATCATGCTGTCTCTCTCTCACACACACAAATAAATAAAAAACATTTAAAAAGTTAAAAAAAATAAATAAAAGTGGAAAAAAGGTTAACTAATTGGAATTAAAGTAAAAACTTTAAGAGGTGCCTGGGTAGCTCACTCGGTTGAGCATCCAACTCTTGATTTTGGCTCAGGTCATGATCTCATAGTTGGTGAGATCAACCCCTGCAGCAGGCTCTGCACTGACAGCACGGAGCCTTCTGTCTGCCTCTCTCCTTCTCTGTCTGCCTTCCTACTCCCCAAAATAAATAAACAAACTTAAAATAAAATAAAAACTTAAAGCAATAAGCGAAAAGGAAAGTCACAGACATGAGAGGAAATTTGCAATATGTGTCATTGACAAGGGACTTAGGGTCCCTCCAGTTCAAAGACAGAAATCCCACCAATGATTTGATGAGAGAGAAGTTACTAGAAGTAGTTATTCACGAGGTACAAAGTTGTTCACTAGGTCACCATCAAGAGAAAACAGAAAACCTAGGGGTATCAGGGTGGCTCAGTTGGTTAAGTGTCCAACTCTTGATCTCAACTCAGGTCACCATCTCACAGTTTGCGGGATGGAACCCCACGCCGGGCTCTGCGCTGACAGCGTGGAGTCTACTTGGGATTCTCTCTCTCTGCCCTCCTCTCTTTCTCTATCAAAATACATAAGTAAACTTAACAAAACAGAACAGAACAAGACAAAACATTTAAAGTTTCTGTGATGCAGCAACCACATGAAGAAATGACCACCTCCAGGGCTAGAGGCAGAGAAGAGGGTCTTCTAACTAAAGTAATATTACAAAGAAACTCAGAGGAGGGCCAGCATGGAGCTGAGGTCACCGGGAGGGAGTCCCAGTGGCTGGGGACCCAGATCCCGGGGGAGGGCCGCCAGCCAGCTGCTGCCTCTGAGCGGCGGCCACGTGATAAAGTGGATTTTGTGCTTGTCGGAAAAGCCACGGACTGGATTCGGCAGCTGCTTCAGGACAAAACCGTGAAGAATCTTTGCTGGAGGAGCCGCACGCTGGCAGCAAGCCCGTAGGAAGCAGAGAGGAAGGGGCAGGGCTGCTCAGGGGTTCCCCGGGGCCCCCCGTCTGCCTCCCAGAGCTTACTGGGGAGACGCTGGCAAAGGGCAAAATGAGGTTTGCAGAGACCTGGGCCGAGCCTCACAAAGCGCAGTGTGAAGGGTGTGTGAGGTCACGTTTAATGTGAAGGCTGCGGGCGATGAGCCAAAAACTTGGGAACTGCCCTCCGTTCGTTCAGCCGGCAATCGTTCATTTCTGTGCAGATGGGAACTTCCTGGAACCGAAGCAGAAACAAAGCAGCCGGCCCTGCAAGCCTGCCTGAGAAGATTCCAGTCTGTCGCGCTGGAGCAGGGCGGTGCAGCCTCCCCGCAGCGGGAGGAGACGCGGTCCCAGCCCACCTTTCCCATTCAGTCTCCTTCGGTCTGAAGCCAAACTGCAAAGCCACTCGCAACAGTGCTTCCTAAAAATACTCAGGGGGACGAGGGAGACACAAACACACACCTATCAGGCAGGGGAGTGCGGACAGCTGTCACTGCGCCCACTCCCGTACAGTCCCTCGTTGGGGGGTCCCCTGCCCGCGGCAGCATCTCGGGTGCCCTATACCTTCATCCCCGGAGGGCACACACCTTCAGTTATACTGCTACTTACTTAGCCTGGGTTGTGGTGGCTTTCTAGTTACTGTGGGCGGTGGAAATGCTAAAACGCACCCCAGATGACCCCCTGGGTTCGAGCCTTACTTCTTCCTGCTCTCCACGTGAAGCGACGGCTCACTTTGTCCTTGGTGTGAGGGCTCCGTGGCCCCAGCCGGCATGGGTCTCCTCAGTGGCTCGACGCGGTGGTGTGAGGCCCCCCATGTTTCTGGGTGGGAGTCTCGTCTTCCAAGTCGAAGGAGCCGTTGCGGATCTCCTGGTGGGCTTTCCTCCCTTGAGAACTGAGACTTCGGAGCCCGTCGGAGCTCAGAGGTGGGGGTGGGATCAACAACGCGGTGAGGCATCAGTAGAAGTCAGAGGAGCCATTGCCATGTCACTCTTCGGGTCCTGGACATGCGGCCGGGCCATGGGGGAGACAGTATCTGTGTCTTCCATGGTGTCGCTCCCGAGCGGTGCTGTCACCGCGTCCTGGGTGGGCCGCTCCGCTCTGCATCACGTGGGCACACCTGGGTGACAGGGCATAGGTAAGACGGCGACTTCCACCAGCACACGCCCATTACTTGGCTTCTGTTGTTGAGGCGTGAGCTCCTTGCTCCGCTGCTGTGTGGGCTGCAAGGCACCCCTGCCCCATGGATCGTTCTGGCAGAAGATTCCAGGGCACGGAAGGCCAGTCCACGTCCAGCATCCTTCCCCGTCGCGCTGGGACAGACAGAACTCCCGTCCCCTCTATGATAGGTGAGTCCAGTGTAACAAAGGTGCCAGCACTTGGCTGGCTGCCCCAGAGTCGTGGCGCTGTGCCCGGGGCTGCCGGCAGGCTGGGCGCCCAGCAGTGCAGTAGGCACATCAGCTTCGGCGGCAGAGGCCTGTGGAGGGATGCGGCCGGCTCTCTGTGCCTCCGACCATGAACGCAGGGGCCATCAAGCGAGCGGAAGAGGCTGAAACCTTTACAGAACGCATCCCAAGTCCGTGTGACTCCCGAGCGCCTCCTCGGCAGGGGACAGGCCGTGGAGACATCCACCCAGGATGCAGAGACCAGCAGGGCCTGCGTCCCTTCCAGGACGTGAGTCTTCCCCAGACCCCCTTGTCACCAAGCTCTCGACGCTTTTCTCTCCAGTCCTCAAGCATCCCGCCAAAGCATTGGCACTGAAAGCCTGGACCCCAAGCTCCACTGAGGTGGCGTCTGCAGGAAGCGCCTCGCGCTCTAGGACTGCGGGAGCCAAGGGAAGAGGTGGGGATAATGAAAAAAAGAAAAAGAAAGGGGACAAAACCAGAAGCTTGGAGATGGCCCCTTGGAGCTCTGAGGAGACCCCGGACGTGCTGTCCCCCAGAAAGTCCCGGGAGCCTGGCCTTGCCCGTGTTGGCGTTGTGAACTGGGCTCAGCG